ACCTGATGAATTTATCATGATAGCCCATCAATTCATCAGGTATTAACCATGATAGTTTCCAGGGGGAACCACGAGGAGGTCGACCTGGTTGGGTATATTGCTAGCAATGAAATTTTTAGTCTCCATTACTAACAATCCCTTTCCCCCCGCCAAGCATGGTAATTACTAGTAAAACCTTCCAAGGGGAGGCATATGTTCAATAGTGGATTAACGACTGTTATACGTGCTTAATGTAAAGCTTTATCTTAAGAAATTCTCTGTAAGAAGCTTCCTCTATACATCAACAATATGTAACGCGCACTTGGGTGATCCATGTGAATAATATGTGATTTCAGTATTATTAATCTATTATTAATTAGATAATTATAACACTTAATACACAAACCGTTTTATTTTCCCCTTTCAAAAACGTTACCAAGCAGTCGACTACATGATATTTTTAAATAGATAAGTTTTATAGTAAATATAAAAAATTTAGCCACTCCTTTACAATATAGAGTATTATTTAATCTACACTTGTCGAAAAATGATAACATCCGAGTTTTTGACAATTTAAAAAAAAAACACTTGATCAATTATTTTAAATACACAGTCGAGACGTAACGCCATGAAAAAGCTTTTACAGGTAAATAGTACCTACATACCTGCTTCTTTATTGCCGACGTTTCGACGTGGATTGCACCACGTTGTGACTCGACATTTTCATCGCGTTAAGTCCCGATTGTGTATTTAAAATATGTGTAAACAAAGCGAAAATTTTAAAATTTACTTGATCAATTTTCAATATTTATAATTGATTATTTAAAAAGTGCTTTGTCAGAGAGAAAAATCAAAACTTTTCTCTTTATAATATTAGTATACAGAATACAATCAAAATAAATGTAAACCAGAAAAAAACTATACAAATTATTCTCTCGTCTAACCTCTTTATTATTCAATAATTCTTAACCTTTATTATAAAAGATGAATCAAACTTACATTTATCACAATTGTGAAAATACTATAGATTATGTTATATATATAATTATTATTATTATATACTAAATATATCAAAAATTGTTAATAATGCGGACTACCAGTCCCATGGCTAGCAATATACCCTGTCGGGTTGACCTCCACGCTATCCCCGCTTGTACTGAATTCCAAATATCCATCATGATGGGCTAACTGATCTGCCTTTTCATCGTCACCTATTATCCCTCACTGGTGCCCCGCCAGCCTATACCGATAGCGCAGGCGAGATTGCCATTCCATTATCATCTATTAAAAAAAAAAGTATCCACAAGATTCGAATTCATTTATCTACCATATAAGTGAGAGTAGTACACTATTAAGACACGACACATTCAACTCTAACTTACTTTATGATAAATAACATCGACTTTACTTAAATAATATTTAAAAGGTACAAAGTATTTTCAATTATTTATTCATAATAATGACCTAGAGTTTGCGTAGCCTCGCTTAATATGGATTATACAGATCTCTGCAACAGAATAATGCACACGAATGCTCGGCGAAAACCAGTTCAAAGCAAATATGGTTGCATCAAGTGACAAATTTATTAAGCTTTGAAGTACATTGAATAGACAGTTGTTACAATGATTGACATTTCTGTATAATTATATTGCAATTATTATTATTATGTCTGTACAATTAGCGTTTAAAAATTTTACATGTTATTTTATTATATTGTTATATATTAAAAAAATATTTTGTCATAACTTATGTAATGACTGTTGCACGTCAGTAACGACAAAATGTGTGAAACCATTATAATACTACCATATGACCTCATTGTACCACATTTATTGCAATAAAATTCATTCATTCATTCATTCATTGCTTCGATTGTGGATGAATAGATTTTGCTCTGCAAAAAAATCAGGCTTCAATAATGACTACATTAATATTGACTTAGTCAATACTTATATTTAGATTATTAAATATTATTATATCCTTTATTGTACTTGTACAAAAAAAGATACAGCGGTTTGTTTAACAACTTGTTAGCAAGGGTGGGCTTATCTCAGAAAGAGATCTCTTCCAGCCTAATCTATGCATTGAGAGAAAAAATGATTGGCAGTTAATCTAGTGCAGGAAAGGTACGAAAGAAAAAGAACTTAGCATATTAAATAATATATATTCACATTATTATAAAATGAATTAAATACGCAGAAGGATAATAACATATTTCATTTCATATTACTTTTTTTTTTTAATTTAAAACGCAGTTAATGCTATTTCTGTTTAAAACTTTGCTCTTGAAAAAATTGTAACCAATCATGAAAAAACTGTTGCATAACATGAAATGGCAAACAAAATGATCATCATCTTCAATCAATAAGTGGCTGTGTTTCGGTTTGAAGGGTGGGATATAGCGTTAATTTACAGGGTACAGAGGAATAACACCTGAGTCCCCAGGTATGGCAACGCGTGGGAGGTATCATGAGCGAAACAGCATACTCTGTTATGTCCATGGTACTGCTCATGTCTATAGGCGACAGTTACCACTTTTCATCAAATGGGCCGTCAGCTTGTTTGCCATTCTAAGTTGTATAAAAAAATCAATCACCTTTAGATTACGGAACACATAGATACGCTCGTGATTTCATTCCTGAGGATCATGGTATCTATAATATGGTATACAGCCAGTTAGTACAACTATGCAAGCTGAGAGGTTTATACGTAAACAATCTTGATATCTGCCAATAATATCATGTAATATGAATAATCCCGTATGGTGTACCACAAAAAGTATGCCATGACACCTATAGTAAGAACACTGCATTTTTGTCACTTCCAAGGATAAAAGAACCTCATATTTCAAAGACAATTTTTTCTTTAACGATGGCACAGAAACAATTCTTAATCTATGCCTATATTCTTCTATTATATATAATATAATTCTTTTCTATATAATTAGGTACATGATTGTTCTAGATTTTAAATAAAGAATTCCATTTATTCGAAAAAAAAACATACGATATCAACTGCATAATATATGTCCACATATAAAAGACCAAACCTAATTTAACAACTGAGATAAGATACCCAATAAGAAAGGCTAATAAATCGAAGCATTATCAGAGTTTAGTTTAGGGGCGACAATCCATCCCCTCGCATGTGCCCCTTCGATGTCTATTATGCCGCGATTCCATTGTCGCCGGAGGGCCCTTCACCCCACAAACGTGAGATTCACAAAGGGTTCGTCACTACGCTACTAATAAAAGTAATAAAACGATCTCCACAGCACAGATTATGTTTTGGATTGAAACGTAACCGTGGGGTCGCAACTAGTATACACTGTTAATTTTTTAAACAGCTTCGTACAAAAGAAGGTTTACTATTCGTCTATATTTTGTCACTGTGTTGTTACACGATTACGTCTGATTTTGAAATGATTTTAATGATTCTTTTTGCAATCGATAATGTTTCGATAAAGGTCTAGGTGAAGCAGTGTAAATTACTTGTCATTATTATCACCATCATTTCAGCTATTATCCGTTTACTGCTGAACATGGGCCTACCCCATAGACTGCCATAAAGAATGGTCCTGAGCCACATGCATCCACTGACTCCCTGCAAACTGCTTGTAATGTAGTTAAATTGAATGGTAGACAAACAATTAAAAAAAACTTATTAAAAACAACTTATAACACTCATTAGAGTGTATAGAATAATTATTTAAAGCAGGGGCTCCCACACTTTTTTCTCATACACCACTTTCAAAATTTAGTTGGTTCCGGAGGTACCCCTGCAGCTACATTTCTATTATATTCCCAAAACTCAACAAAAATGTGAAGATTAGATCTAACTATGGAAATAGTTTTCGAAAAAAAGTGAGAATAGATTGGTTAATTAATTTTTTAATTGTAGATACTGTGAATGAATGTCAAAAAAGTAAAGTTAATCAATTGAAAAAATTCAGTTTACATTCTTGTTTTTCTATTTCAATGTGTTTTAAAGGGGTTACTCAAAAATAATCATTCAATCCAATCTTTAGAATCTAAACTAATTTCTTGAATGTTTATTTTGGAATAATCGCTTTTAAAACAAATTAAATGAGAAATACAAGAATTTGAACTAACTTTTTTGCCGATATTTAATCGTATTCCTCCTGTTTTTATACTAACATAATGCTAAGCCAATTTTAGTGAAACTTGACAGGATAATAGCTAATAATATCCCGGTTAATTTAAGCTTTTTATTCCTAAAAATGAAATGGTTTTCAAGCTTACAACTGTATGCATCTACTTGGAAATATATGTAAATTTCTAAATTACATATCTCATATTTTTCATACCATTTATGGTATTTTTTTTTATACCAAATTTGAGTGACAAACAAGCTTACAACCCCTTTTAATGGTAAACGGTCACTGTAGCTTATGGACGCCTGCAATACTAGAGATGTCACGTGTGCGTTGCCGACCCTATATCTCATATTATGAGTTTTTATTCAAACATAACAATGTTTATTAACTAATCTATTACTAAGAAATATTTATAACACCGTAGTCCTCAGGAATGACAACATATGAAGAATATCATGGGTGACACAGTGTATCTTGTTATAGCCATAATACTAATGATATCTATAGGCAACCGTTACCACTTTCCATCAGGTAGGCCCTCAGCTTGTTTGCCATTCTAAGTTGCATAAAAAAGAAATATTTCTTAAAGTAATATATACGATAATATTATTCGAAAATAAAAAAAAAAAGTTATTCAAATATTGTGTAAATAAACAATTTATAACATAAACAAAATACAAATAAACTACAAATGGAATCGAATTAATTAATAGCCCGCAAACGCGAGATGTTTAATTTAAAAGCCAGATGGGGAATGTCTCGTGAAGCAAATAGTGGTATGTGTGTAAACAATGAGAAAATGGGAGTGTACGCGGGCTCTTTTTACGAATAAACAAAAAGTTTTTACAACTGCAATAACATTTTCACGGTCAACGGTATGTAGAGGGAATAATCCGGCACTCACCGAAAGAACGACCTCCAGAGAGCCTCCTTATAGGAACAACACGGGTATAGATGCACTGAACAATTGATTAATAAAAAAAAAATATCCTTTACCTATTAGTGACGTTATTCCATTGTTCTTTTAATTGCGATGTTATCGTATACTCTCGGCTTCGCAAGGCGGGGATGAAACCGCGGACGTGGTATGCCGGCGACGGTTGGCACGCGACTGCCTTTGCCTCACCTCATTTGCCTCTAGCGAGAGCAGCCAGATCATATTTGCCCTTAACAAAATCAACTGACAGTTTCGCATCCCCAATTACCCGTTTTCCGCGGATTTCTTGGAATCCTCTTACGTGATAGGTATTACTCTTAGATTATGTAGATAGAGTGTCTCCATACAAATGCTTCATGAAATGCGGGTCAACTTTTTCATACAATTTTAGGTGATAAATAGTTATAAATGTTTCCTTTATAATTTTTATATTTATTTTGTTTTATAATTTTTGCATCATTTTAATGAGTAAAAACTCATTTTATTTAAATAATTAAATATAGATATGTCAAGATATATTATGTGTAAAAACGAGTCAGCTAATTTGACAATTAGGGGGGAAAGCGATTGTTAGTAATGGGATCTAATAGCTCCATAGCTAGCAATGTACCCTATCAGGTCGACCTTCACGCGGTTCCCCCTGGAAACCATCGTGGTTAATTCTTGTGGAATTCTTCACGATGGGCTAACTGACCTACTTTCATCATCAGCTATCACCTCTCACTAATGCCCCTCCAGCGTATACCGATAGCGCAGAGTTACCATTCCATTTTCACCCATTAAAAAAAAATTACAATAAACTGACTAGAGGGAGACTTTGTACAAAAGTCGATTGCCTGAGTACCTCTGTCCCATTCGTGTTTCAACCGTAAAGCAGATGTGTTTGCATGGCTGTATTTCGGTTTGAAGGGTTGGAACTGAAACCGGATATGGCGTGAATTTAAAGGGTACAGAGGAATAACACCTGACATGTGCAACGCATGGAAGGTATACCTTACCTTACCTACCTACCTATAAGCGAAACAGTATACTCTGTTATGTCCATGGTACTGCTCATGTCTATAGGCGACGGTTACCACTTTCCATCAGGTGGGCCGTCAACTTGTTTGCCATTCTAAGTTGTATAAAAAAGGACTATAAGTCGACCCGTTTTTGAGACTCGATGCTCTATATATATAATCTAAGGTATTACTGTTTTGTTAGTAGGTATTATAGACAGGATATTGTTAATAATTCTTATCTCGTATTGTTATAATTTATTGTAATCTAAATAATAATAGAGCGTTATATAAAATAATTGTGTTCGTAAATTCTAAATATAAAACTAAGCTTATAAATTCCTAACTAGATAAAATTAATAAAGATATAAATAATAGAGTAAAACTCAATAGTGGAATTCAAATTCGACATTTAAAACTATGAATGTCGATTTTTGAAGTCGCTTAACCAATTTAACTTACTTAACTAACTTATTTTTTTATTAAATTGGCGTGAATTTACTGGGTACAGAGGAATAACACCTGAGTCCTCAGGAATGGCAACGCATGGGTGGTGTCATAGGCGAAACAGTATACTCTGTTACGTCCATGGTACTGCTCATGTCTATAGGCGACGGTTACCACTTTCCATCAGGTGGGCCGGCCGTCAGATTGTTTGCCATTCTAAGTTGTATAAAAACAAAACTTTTACATTTGAAATGCAATAATGTTAAAGATAGTAAAGGATAATTTTCTTTAAGTTTAAAAAGTTTAAAGATGCCAGTTTTCAGTTCGCCGATTAATAATGGTAGGATTAAAATCTATTATAAAAAATGGTTTAATTAACATTTTAGGTAATTTAGGTTTATTTAACGAACGTTGTATCAATCTAGAATATTAAGTAATATATTACTACTAGTTTTTTTTTTATATAACACAGGGGGCAAACGAGCATGCAGCTCACCTGATGGTAAGTCACTACCGCCGCCCACGATCACCCACAACACCAACGGCATTGCAGGTGTGCTGCCGGCCTTTCAAAAAGGAATATGCTCTTTTCTTGAATGGTATGATGTCGTTCCGTTTCGGAAATACATTAAATAGTATATTATTATTTTATCTTTGGTACTTAGATTATATAGATAGTGCATCGAGTCTCAAAAATAGATCGACTGTTTGTTAGCCAATTGTTAAATTAATTGACTCGTTTTTCTATCAGTGTTCTATACACTTACGCACATAATGTATCTTGGCGTATCTATATTTAATTTTGTAATAAATAAAATGAGTTACTACTCATTAAAAAGATGCAAAAATTATAAAACAAAATAAATATAGAAGTTATAAAGGAATCACTCATAACTATTTATCACGCAAAATTGTATGAAAAAGTTGAACCGCTTTTCTCGAAGCATTTGTATGGGACACACTATCTAGATCGGTGTTTCCAAACGTGGGACCCACGCCCCATAGGAAGGCAATTTGATAGTTAAAGAAGGAAGGCAATTAAAAAAATAGATTCGAAGCGATTTTAACCCTCTTGCTCCGAACCATTTAAATGCAATGCTACAGTAGATATCGGTGCCAAATTTAATAAAAAAAAGTAAATAAAAAAATGCTGTAAATGTTTATTAGGTATAATTTCGTTTGACGTTACCAAAATATCAACTGGGCGATTAATAAAAAATAAATCAGATTGATAAGCATAAATTATATCGAATAGCGAAAGGTAGCCATTATTTTGAGTGTAAATTCGGGATTTTATTATTTTCATTTCGATAAATGATTACTTATTAAAATAATAAAATAAACGGTTCTAAGTTATTACTTAGTCTTTAAATATTCATCAACAATCGAAAAATTCATAGACCCTATTACAAAAGTAGAATTACAATGTATTGTAAATTGTAATTAATTTACAATATTTCTTATTAACTCAATATAATTACAAAAGGCATTTTATATGTTATTCTTTAGATTGCTATAACTTTTTTACTTATGAACCGATTGAAATAAAACAAACACTAAACGTTAAGTGGAGCAAACCGCAACGCATTAGTGAACCGCATTCAAATCGGTTGTTTCTGTGATTAGCGTGCATAATCGTACAGACAAACAGACATAAATTCTAAAAATTATTGTTTTGGATTCTATTGCGTTCATAAAGCCTCCCTATAATAGTTTTTCTTATATATATTCTTATATACCAGAGGAAGACTTTGTACAATAGACGATTGCTTGGGTACCTCTGTCCCATTCGTGTTTCTACCGTGAAGCAGTTGTGTTTGCATGGCTTTTTGAAGGGCGTGAATTTACAGGGTACAGAGGAATAACATCTGAGTCCTCAGGAATAGCAACGCATGGGGGGTATCATGGGCGAAACAGTATACTCTGTTGTGTCCATGGTACTGCTTATGTCTATAGGCAACGGTTACCACTTTCCATCAGGTGGGCCGTCAGCTTGTTTGCCATTCTAAGTTGTATAAAAAAAATCTTCCATATACAGACAGCGACCAGTTACGATTTTATTATATGTATTAATGTTGTTATTTATTATTGTTATTATTATTAATTATTGTAAATTAATAAATCATATTGTAAATATTGACTTGCCTTTATATGACGATTGGTTGATAAAGAAATATGAAATGTAAAACATTGCCAAGTCACGCAACACAATTTTTTCCACTGTAAAAAGTCGTGAGATCTCGTTTGTCGAACCAAGTCAAGTTATTAACACCTATTCAACAACTTTGTTATAAATTGTTATCTAATCAATTACATGTCGGCATTTATATTTTTATTGTCCGTAATAATATTGGATATCTTTATTTCCGTAATAATTATAACGACTTGGCAATTGCACTGCAACACATTCTTCTAATGAAGTACTTTACTCTTGGATGAACTGTTTACTTAGTAATCGAAATATTAGACTTCATATTACATTATTATTTAAGTCAATTGCTTGGGTACCTCTGTCCCATTCGTGTTTCTACCGTGAAGTGGTTGTGTTTGCATGTCTATGTTTCGGTTTGAAGGGTGGGATGTGGCGTGAATTTACTGGGTACGGAGGAATAACACCTGAGTCCCTCAGGAATGGCAACGCATGGGGAGTATCATGGGCGAAACAGTATACTCTATTATGTCCATGCTACTGCTCATGTCTATAGGCGACGTTTACCACTTTCCATCAGGTGGACCGTCAGCTTGTTTGCCATTCTAAGTTGTATAAAAAAATATTTAAAAAAAATTAATTACGATACCATTAGTCTATGTTCTTTACCATAGTAAATAGTACGTGTGTACCAAATTTAATGACATTTGGTCGAGTCATTAAAGTGTCAAGAAGTAACAAACAAACAAAGTCGCTTTCTCATTTATAATATTACTAATTTTTACCTGCATTGTTGAAACATTCAGCGATCGTTTACTTAATTGCAACAAGTAAAAAATACATTATACAAATGATAATTAATTAAATATTAATAGAAATAATTTTATTATAAATTCCTTCGTAATCAGGTACGTAGTATGGAATACAGTTTTAATAATAGGATTGCTTATTTTCATTAATCTTTCATGAAATTTTTCTTTTAACATTTACATTGAAATAGCAAGACGACCTTTATTTCATTAAATTTACTTATTAAGGGAAGTGTTCATGACCATTTTAGTAGACGATTACTTGAATCTTGGCGGTGGTAATTGAATTAAAGTGGAGGTAATTCAGTTAGCATTAGCGTTAACCATGTTACTGTAGGTGTCTCGTAAGTTGTAACTACAGATTAGTCGGTAAACACACACGTAAAAAGATATGTAAAGTTTACCAGAGGGAGACTTTGTACAAAAGTCGTTTGCTTGGGTACCTCTTTCTCATTCGTGTTTCAACCGTAAAGCAGTTGTGTTTAAATAGCTCTGTCTCGGTTTGAATGGTGGGATATGGCGTGAATTTACAGGGTACAGGGGAATAACACCCGAGTCCTCAAGAATGGCAACACATGGGGGATATCATGGGTGAAACAGTATACTCTATTATGTCCATGGTACTGTGAAGGATAATAGGTAAGGGGTACCAGTGAAGGATGACAGGTAAGGATGAAACAGGACAGTTAGTGACGTGACCGTGACGAATTCAACAAGAATTAGCCACGATGGTTTCCAGAGGCAACGCGTGGAGGTCGACCTGATA